CTTTGCACCTGCTGAATCCTCAGCACCCAGAACAGTGTCTAGCAATAGCAGGCTCTCAACCAATATGTGACGAATTAACAAAAATAAAAACGTGAATTCCCTCCACACACACAATCAAACAAGCACTGTTTGTGCCAAGCAGTGAAGTAGGCGCAGCCCAGCCCTACAGGGGCTGTAAGTCCCAAGACCCAGGAAACCATCATCCATAAACACTTCCACAGCTTTACCCTGGTGAGAAATAGGAGGCCGGGAGTTTAGCTGACTTCCGCTGAGCAAGGGAACATCTTGGGAAATCTCTGTGCCTACAACCCCAGGAGGACAGAACGCTGCCAAGAGGCCTTTTCCCTCCTGGAGTTATGACTACTCCCAGACAAAAGTTAGAACAACCTCTGAGGAGAAATAGCGGAGGGCGGGAGACTCACCCTCATGGGAGTCACTTCACTCTTCTGGGTCCAGCCATCGGAAAATGGGAGCAGTCTCTGCCCTCATCCCCCTACCCCAGACACTTTGATCACTATCAGTTTCAATAAAGTCCCAGCTGGACTTCCCTGGTGGCGCAGTGGTTGAGAGTCCACCTGCCGATGCAGGGGACACGGGTTCGTGTCCCGGTCCGGGAAGATCCCACACACCGGGGAGCGGCTGGGCCCGTGAGCCATGGCCACTGAGCCTGCGCGTCCGGGGCCTGTGCTCCCCAACGGGAGAAGCCACAACAGTGAGAGGCCCGCGTACCGCAAAAAAAGAAAAAATAAAGTCCCAGCTAGGCCAGGATCCTAGGACACTTGCATTCTTTTCCAGCTAGTTAAGTCTTTTTTGAAAAGGCAAAAAAGAGCCATCTTTAAATAAAGTAACAATATAAATGACGACTTCACATCAGTGCCGTGCAGCATTCGGTCGCAGCTGTGTTGCCCTGTCCGTCTCCTCACCCCCATGCTCCACGTACCTGTTTACCAGTGCCTGTAACTCCCTGAGTGCAGGGCAGGGCCAATCTTTTTGTACTGCCACAACCCAGCACCCAAATGTGCTCATTAAATATTTCCTGAACAAAGAACCTCTTTGCAAACAAACCTCCAAACGGCTTACAACGACCAGATACTTTTAGGTCTAGAATGAATTCCCTGTAATGCCACAGCTACTCTAGGGGTGTATGACTACCACCACCCCACCCCTTCTAATGATGGGAAAACAGTCCCCCAGAGACAGGTGAGCAGGGCGGGGAACACTTATCTCCTGTCTCCTGTCCAGAGCTCTAGCCACAGGTACACCGCGCCCTGCAAGATGCCAATAGGAACAATACAGATTGAAAATGAATGAAAAAGCCTAGGAACAATGAAATTCTGGGATAACCAATAAGAAGAATGCAATTACAAGGATCGAGCGGCACAAGTTGTCATAGGAACTCGGAGGAGGAAGAGGGGCACAGTGGTCAGCGCACGCTTCCCGGGGAACGCGAGTCCAGCGAGCAGCATCTAAACCGCACCCTCGCGGCCCCGTAGAGCAGGGCCCACAATCGTTCGCGCATGCGCACTCGCCCACCCGGCACGGCCACACCCTCGGTCCCCGGAGGCGGCGGCCTCGGCGGCGGGGCCTCACCTGTGGGCACACAGCGCGGAGGAGCGCCCAGAAGCGCGGAGCACGGCGGCCCCGCGCCGCGGCCCGGCCCCGCCTCCAACCCCACTCGGCGCTCAGAGGACGCGGACCGCTACCCAGCGCGGACCGGATCTACTTCCGGGGCGGCGCCCTGGCAACCGAAGACGCGGCTTTGCCAGCTCCGCGACTGCTTCCCGGGTCAGACATTCCCTGCCGGTCTCTACACCACAATGCCGGTGGCACGCTACGCCCGGCGCTGAGATCCTACGAGGAGTCAGTCGTCCACCCCCGGGAGCCTTGCAATCTTCAGGGCCCAGAAATGAGGTTGCGAGGGGTCGGGATCGAGCCTGATAGTGGGAGGTAGAGCGGTATGATGCCTGGGGCCCTGGGTCCAGTCGGCTCTTTATCCCCTCTGCTGCTCAGCTTCAGTATCTGTAAAACTAGGACTGTTCATAGCACCTCCCGAGTAGGGTTTGTTGTAAGGATAACAAGTTGTGCTCAGCAACCAGTAATCAATAAATGGCCTACTCAAAGGTAACCTCATTGGTGAAGTGTTCCCTGAGTGTGGGACAGGTTTAGTTCCTCAAACTAGATTTTTAAAACGCCTTCTGTTAGGAAGAGGCAGCCTAGCCTAGTGAGACATTTAAAACGGAAGCCAGGGGAATTCCCTGGCGGTTCAGTGGTTAGGACTCCGCGGTTTCACTGCCGAGGGCGCGGGTTCAGTCACTGGTTGCGGAATTAAGATGCCACAAGCCGCGCACTTGTGGCCAAAAAAACCAGAAAAACAAGCCAGGCCTAGATTGAATCCTCGCTTCAAAATCTACTAGCTTTGTGGCTTTGGGCAGGTCACTGTCACTTCTCTTGCCTCAGTTTCTTGTCTGTAAATGGAACAGCAGCACCTATATTGAAGGGTTGTTGGGAAGATTATTTAAAAAAAGGCACAAATACTAATTGCTCAAATACTTGTTGAATTAATACAAAATAAAAGAGCATGTACCCCAGACATCTGTCAGCCATGAAAATGTACTTGAAGGCAGCATAAAAGAAGAGACACAGAATTTACATCCCTGCTCTGTTACATTCTAGGTGTCTGGGCACGGGAAAATCCCAGCCTTTTTTTTTTTTTTAAATAAATTTATTTATTTATTTATGGCTGCATTTGGTCTTTGTTACCGTGCGTGGGCCTTCTCCAGTTGCAGCGAGCGGGGGCCCTCTTCACTGCAGTGTGCGGGCTTATCACTGCGGTGGCTTCCCCTGTTGTTGCAGAGCACGGGCTCCAGGTGCGTGGGCCTCAGTAGCTGTGGCACGTGGGCTCAGTAGTTGTGGCGCACAGGCCCAGCTACTCCACGGCATGTGGGATCCTCCAGACTGGGGCTCGAACCCACGTCCCATGCATTGGCAGGCAGATTCCTAACCACTGTACCACCAGGGAAGCCTCCAGCCTCTTAATTACATTTTTTTAATGGAAAAATGGGAATAACGATCTCCATCTCTCAAGGGTGCAAAAGTGTTTAAATTCCTAGGTGAATAGCACCTAGGAAGATGTTTTAACATGTCTTACCATTTCCTGCCCCTGTGCAGAGTACATGCCACTCCAAACAGAGTCACCAGCAGCCAAAATACCAGAAGGCTTAGGTGCAGGCAGTGGGAGGAGACCAACAGCACAAGAGCAAATAGTAGGAAAAGTTCTAGCCAAAGTGAAGAATTAACTGGGAGCTAGGTAGTCCCAGGAGAAAGACAGGAAACTAAGAATCTCAATGCTAATCTAATCATGTAAATCTAGATTAAAAGTCTTTAAGGACTTTCATTGCCATCAAGGTAACATCCAGACTCCTCAATATGTTATTAGTTTTAATGTAGTTAAAATCTGTTAACCTTTTTCCTGTATAGTATCTGAGTTTCCTGTTGGGCCTAGAAAGATCCATCTTCACAAGTTGTAAAAACATAACTTATAAGAGGCCAAAAATACAATCAACTAAATTAAATGATAAACTGAAAATGTGTCCATCATCTGACAAAGCATTAGTTAATATCCACAATATACAAAGAGTTTGCACAAATCAATAAGAAAAAAATACAAAAATTGGCAGAAGAGATGGAACCACAAATTCAAGAGCAGAAGGATAAAGAAAGATGGTAAGTAAAAATATGAAAATATGCCCAAGTCACTAAAAATTAAGGATATTAAAATGTTTAATGAGGTATTTTTTACTGACAAAATTGGCAAAAATTTAAGATATAGTTACAACTAATGTTAGAAAGGATATGGGAAAAAAGCACTCACATCCACTACTAATAGAAGTGACTATTAGCATAGCTTTTAGAAGGCTGGCAATTTGGCAATATTCATCAGACTTTTAATACATGTTTAATTGTATACTCTTTAACCTATAAATCCCAGTTTTAGGAGTTTATTCTATAGAAATTCTCTCACAGGTAAACAAAGATGTGTACAATAGCATTTAAAGCAGTATTATCTCTAATAATTAAAAATTGGAAAAAATATAAATGTTTTTTAGCAGAAGTCTTATTGGCTAAATTAAAGTTCATCAACTTAATGAAATAGTATTTACCTATTAAAGGGATGAAGTGGATCTATGCGTGCTGACCTGGAAACATATACATAATATATTAAATGAAAAGTGCAAATTACACAACTTTGTATAGTATGATTTTTTTTTGTATAGTATGATTTTAAAAATCATTAATATATATATGCATTAAACATAATTTAAGAGGCATAAAAAATCTTGAATAAAAGATATGCAGTTACGGTTAAGAGTCATTCTCTTCAGGAGTTGGAATAGAAAGTACTTTCTCTTCTTAAAGCCTATATTTTTTATTGTCTGAATTTTTTAGTAGCACAAAAGTATTATTTTTTAATTTTTTAAAGTTTCAATAAAATAAAGTTAAAAAACAAACTTTTGGGACTTCCATGGTGGTCAGTGGTTAAGAATCTGCCTTCCAATGCAGGGGATGCAGGTTCAACCCCTGGTCAGGGAACTAAGATCCTACATGCTGAGGGGCAACTAAGCGTGTGCACCACCACTAGTGAGCCCACATGTTCTGGAGCCCATGCACCACAACTAGAGAGAAGCCTGTGTCGCAATGAAGAGTCCACCTGCTGCAACTAAAATAAAAATAAAAAATAAATTAATAAATAATATATATTTTTTTGCGGTACACGGGCCTCTCACTGTTGTGGCCTCTCCCGTTGCGGAGCACAGGCTCCAGACGCGCAGGCTCAGCGGCCATGGCTCACGGGCCCAGCCACTCCGTGGTATGTGGGGTCCTCCCGGACCAGGGCATGAAACCCGTGTCCCCTGCATCGTCAGGCGGACTCTCAACCACTGCGCCACCAGGGAAGCCCAAAAATATTTTTAAAAATTAAAAAAATAAAATAAAAAACAAACTTTTTTCCATTTTGAAACAGCGGACTGAACATCTTTTCACACCCCAAAATCTCACTGAAAAGGCAGAAGAAGAAATAGAAAAATACAATAAAAGATTAACTATCCAGGAATCTGAATACCCAAAACATCCAAATAAAGGAATTTGTCTAAAAGGTTTTGTTTTAAGATCATCTGTTTCTGGGAACTCCCTGGTGGTCCAGTGGTTAGGACTCGGCGCTTTCACTGCTGGGGCCGGGTTTCCATCCCTGGTTGGGGAGCTAAGATCCCGCAAGCCCCGAGGCACGGCCAAAAAAATAAAATCATCTGTTCCTAAATCATGCCTTTGTGGCTACTGAGGATCCGTTTGCCATTCTGCGTTATCACTGGTGTTCTTAGCTCCACCAGGCAGGCAAGAGGGATTGCTCATATGGGGCAGTCCCATCTTCCTCACATGGAGAGAAGGACTCAGGCCCAAGGGGAGATGTCACCTGGGGGTATCACAGCACAAGTTATGGCAGATCCCAGTTTATACGTTTTGAAGGATAACCATTGTATAAAGTATTGAACTGCAATTGTGCAAAGATATATTGGTTGTTAAATTCTTTTCAAAGACATGTCTCCGTTTTGGTGTTAAGTTAGTTGAACTACAGACTGCATAAGTGATCATCTGCTAGAAATCCATGGCATAGTTGGAAGACTAGGAGAAATACTCCCAATAGACGAAACAGTGAGGAATTCCTGGAAGATGAGATAAGAACAGATAGATGGGCAACCCCAATAAAAATGAGGACAATTGCTCCCCAACATGCAAAAGAGAGAAGTTCCACCCCAAATCAGTTTTCTGAACAAAACTCTGAAATTACCCTGAGATAAGAAGCAGTGACATGGACAGTTGGCCAGAAAATTAAGTAAGGTAATCACTGGTTGGTCTCCTTAGAGAGCAGACAGTCCTCTGACATTTAGGGTAAAGCCATGCGTCTTAGTCCGTTTGGGCTGCTAGAACAAAAACACCAGCGACTGGGTGCCTTCTAAACAACACATGTATTTCTCGCTGTTCTGGCGCCAGCAGATTCGGTGTCTGGTGAGGGCTTGCTTCCTGATTCATGGATAATCATCTTGCTGAGTCCCCACATGGCAGAAGGAGTAAGGGAGCTCTCTGGCGGCTCATACAGGCACTAATCCCATTCATAAGGGCTCCACCCTCATGACCTAATCACCTCCCTAAGGCCCACCTCCTAATACCATCACATTGGGGATTAGGATTTCAGCACAGGAATGAGAGGGGGGTGTGGTGAGGGGAGACATAAACATTCAGTTCAGTCCGTGAACCTTGAGAATAGTTCATAAAAGAGAGAGTTCAGACACTCAGCCAAAAACATTAAAGACCAAGAACATTCAAGAAAGGCACAAAATTCAGCAAAAGGAAAATTGAATGCCAAGGAAACAGTTAACACAGTTAAAATACTAGATCAAGAGTCAGCAAACCACTGGCCAAATCCAGCCCAGAAAGCTAAGAATGATTTTTACTTGTGACCGTTTGCAGCCGATTTGTTGTTAGGGAACACACTAACTTTGGACCCCAATTAAGTAAAATTATCTCCCCTCCTGTCCCCCAAAGAAATCCATTCTTCTCATTAGTAGACCTGTATTACAAAAAAAATTATGCTCCATTGTTATTATATTTTTATTTCATCAGTTAAAAAGTTGTGAATTTTTTTTAAAAAGCAATGAAAAGCTA